CCATGTAGTGGTAGGTTATAGTTTAAACGGATCAACCAATGATGTCATAATTAAATAAGAAATTAGAGATAGATAAAAGTGTAAAATTTTATAGAGAATACATAGATTTTGTAAGAAATAAGTTGAAATATAGAAAATATGAAATAATTGATAGAAATAAAAGAAATTATACACATATACAAAATGTTTATATAAAAATTTAGAGACATCTATAATATTATATATTGACCATGTTAAAAAATAAATGTGAAAAATAAGACTTATCTTTATTAATGATGTAATGTTTAAATTCATCAACATTTTATAAGCAAGTAGTTTAGTGGTAAAATGGAACCAAAGTAATAGTTCAATAAATAGTCAACTGGTCCAATTGGTAACTTTAACCATAGGATAAAGACAATGTTCTAAAACCCGACCGATTGGAACCACATCTACCATTAGGCTCAGTTTGGAAAGAGTATAAATGCAAATATGTACAGTACAAAATACATGTAAAATAATACAAAATATAAGGTTTTGCACTATACAAATTTGCATTTGTATTCCTTCCAAACTAAGATTTAGGTCAAACAAGTGAGCGCGGATTAGCTGGAGAGAAGATTGTACACACCGGGCTGGGCTACCTATCATGAGTGAACATGCCAGTGTTCACTGTGGGCCCCATCCCGATGTGTACAATCTTGTCTCCAGCTCATCCAGACTCCAAACAAGCTAACTTGCAATGTCATAAATTAAATAATAAAATATGAAATTCAAATGTATAGGAAATTTTATAAAACTTATAGAAAAATAAAACATTTTTTTAATACTATTTATTCATTATATTAAACAAAAATATGTGTGAAGATGAGAAAATTGCTATTGATGATGGAAATGGCTTGAAATATAAAAGAAAATTAATGGCTTATACATGGCTCATTGACTGGGTTAAATACTATTCAACCAAGCAAGTTGTTCATTCCAATTCCAATTGTTTGGTTGGGCGGAATCGGAATCTCATTCTCATTATGATGGAATGACATTCTCCCATTTTAGAGAATGACTATTCCCTCCCCTTCCCTTGGGAATAAAAATCCCATTCAAATTTATTCCAAGTCCCATTTCGATTTCTGACTGAACCAAACAGACTAAAAATAAATAGACCATTTCGATTCTGGTTCCAATTCCAACTGAAAACCAAATGGACTCTAGGAGAAAAACCTGTCCCTTAGACTTACATTAGCTCTATAATGTGGTAGAAGATTATGTTGCTCATGCATTACTTTGAATATATCATATAACATGTGGTTCATAAATTAAACTAATTAAATAATAGTGGGTTGTCAATTTGTCATCCAGATTTCTGTCAAGGTTTCGTAGCAACTTCAGTTTCTCTGAAGATAGGCTACGGTTGATGAGTTTCCTTGGCCTAATAATACTCTCAACTTGGTCTTAATAAAATAAGTTACTGTTTTGCTATAGTACAGACCCTAGCCTTTGGGGAAATGAAAGGCTGAGAATATATAACCTGTAAAATCCTCTTATCTTAATTACAGGATAGACTAATTCTCTCAACTTGTTCCAAATCTGAGTTACTGCTCTTCTATAGTAAATTATCTAGCCTTCGGGAAAGGCAAACTAAGAATATTCTCCCATAATCCTCTTTATCTTCTACCAAAAGACTTCTTTCAAGTAATGAGTTCACATCTCTGCCCCACAGCATATCTCCGCCTGGGAATATCTCCGGATGATAATACCATTCTTGATGATGTCATCATCGAGAGATGTTCCCAATACACGGCGGGAATGTACTGTGAGGCGTTGTAGAGCGGAAATGTGATCTTGACTAATTTCCAAACACATGAAAGATAGATCTTTCAAGCCGATATTTGACCAGACTCAGTGATTCTGTCTGATCTATGGGCTATTTTCTCAACCATGGATTTTTGTTTTTTTTTTCTTTTTGATTTTACCTCAAAAGAATGTTAGGTCATATGAATGGTTAGAATTATAATCTGGATACTGCTTTCTTAGTTTAGGAGAGAACCTAGTTGATTAGTTGTTTTCTCAACCATGGATTGTTTGTTCCTGATCTTTCCAAAGAATGTTAGGTCATATGAATGGTTAGAATTATAGTCTGAACACAGTTTCTTAGTTTAGGAGGGGCACCTAGTTGAATAGGTCTGATTCATTCCAACCCCTTTTCATGTCATAAAGGATGCCTTTGGCAAGAAAGCTAAGATGCCCTACTAAAGCTATGTTCATGTGAAAAAGTGATCATATTTTTCATTAATAAAAGGAAGAATTGAGAATGAAAATTCCTTAGAACAAAACTCTGCCCTCCCTGGACTGGATACCACAAGGTTCTGCCTGCCCACCTCCTTTGCCCAATGACTAAGGCTCTGTTTGGATAAGCTCTTGCTTTTGAACTTTGGGCTGTAAAAAAGAAAATGATGCAAAATGCATTTTGAGCATTTTGTAAGAATTTCCTTAAGAATGTTACAGTCAAAAAACTCAAGATTTAAAAGCACACAGCCTAAAAAATTGGGGCTTTGTGATTTAATTTTGGACTTTAAAAGCACAAATAAAATTTTCCAAACACAACCTAAATTAAAGCAGAAAGAGCTTCATTAGCTATCATGTTCCATTTCTACCCTGGAAGGGCACCAAACAATCCTTCTCTGATGAAGTGTAATCGTATAATAATTAATAAATTAATTAATTAGGAGCAACCATTTCCCTATACATATTAAGCTAGTTAAGCCCTCCATGTGCAAGCAGGTTGGGGTGTCCATTATATAGTCTTGACCACCAAACCGGACCAAACCAAACAAATATTGCTGTTTTGGTCTTGTCTGGTCTGAGAACTTCTTAGACAGTTTGAATTTCAGAAATCAAATCAAGCTGTGTAGCCAAACATGTGTAACTTGGCCACATGTTTTCCCAACTTGGCTTAATTTGAAAGGAGTAGAAATACAAATATAAATATGTAGAGAAATCCAAACAACCTTGTTGAGAAATCATGGAAATCTTTTTAATTCTTTTTTTTTTTCTTTTAAACCAGAGAAAGTCTTGGGTGATGTTTTTAATGAAGATGTTATTGAGTATTTAGGTACAATGGCCCAAATTTCCTAGCCCTAATACGATTCAAATTGGATGGGAAAAATCGTTAATTCGTTATAGATTATGATGCCGGAAAGACGTAATACTGAAAAAACTTATAAGGAGGTTGTAGTTTGTCAAAACCTTTCTAATATAATGTCTTTTCATCATTACAACTCGGGAACCATCTAAGCAATCAGTTTCATTTTATCACAAACTCAATCCTTGGCCAAAAACCCAGGTGATTGAATCGTTAACCCGTTTAACGATTTTTGACTTTTTTTTACTTTTATTTTTTTTTTGTTAGAATGAATTATTCGTTTGAATCGAATAGTCGAACCGTCAACCCAAAAACTGGTGACCAGAACGATTCTATTTCCGAATCGTTTTTTAAAGCCATATTTCTAAACCAAAGTAATGGATGATGTTGAATATTAGGAACAATGACCTAAAATTCCTAGCCCTAATAGGGTTTGGCTCTTCCCATCTTTGGGCATCTTCCCACTTGACCAACCCACCCACTCCCCCCCCCTCCAAAAAAAAGTAAAAAAATAAAACTCCAATAAATTTGAATAGGAGACAGTTTAGGCTAAGAAATTTGAATTCCTCTCGATGGCTCAGACATGCCCTAATCTATTATCCTCGTGGATTCATGTCCTGTTGAATCTAGACACAGTTTCCATTATCAACCTGAACAAGAAAGGAAAAGAAATCACAAATTGGGAGCCCTTCCATTCTTTGGACATTCCTACCCTAGGTAAACATACAACGGATCATTTGACTGAGAACCCAAATCTCGGTTAACAAATTGGACGGCCATGATCATCTTGTCGGTGCTACTCTTGGACTTTTTGGATGACCTAGATCAATTGGGACATTGATCCTCTTTGGGTAGGGACAAGGTATAGAAAGCCTACTTTGTACTAAACCACTATTCTAGTCTTACACAAGATTTGCAAATCCAATCATGAGTCTTAAAAGCACCACAAGCCCCCTTGCTGTATCCAATGGTGACAAACGTACATATGGTGTTGGGCCCATCCTACTACGATGCAATAGGCCACATGGTATTGTCTGTCTTGCTTCTCCTTCTTCCAGTCAGCAATTTATTAATTTCTCGGGAGGCGAGAAAATCACGAGTGACGAGAGATTGGGACGTTTTTGACTGCGATCTGAACCCGACCGGAACCGGATTAACCGGAGAGGATGGAATTTAATGCAATGATTGACTCGAACAAAACACGTTAATTAAAAAAAATTATTAAATTAATCAAGGTTTTTTTCAAAATTAACCCAACCAATAAGTTAAATTAATCAGGATTTACCTTTGACTTTTTTTACTTCTTCATCAAATCCCTTTGTTTTGACTCCAATCATCATGGCAAAACGCAAAACCACCCTCAACTTTTTACCCACCAAACGCAGTGAAAAAAGTTTAAAAACACTGGAGCTGGCCCACCTTGGAGTCTTGATCTCAACCCTTCAATCGGTGAAGTCCAACGAATTTGGTGTTTCTGATTAGCATCAAACTGAATTAGAAGCATTTTTATTAAGCTTAATTGCAGTTTTGCTCTGTGCCTTTGGAGTAATGATGAACACGTGGCAAATTTGATCCAATCAAAAAATTTTTGGGTTGATGGAAATTGGTGGGTGGGACCCAACTGCCAACTGGAAAGGGGGGAAGTGGGTTCTTTTGAAAATTGGAGCTTCATCTTTCAATGTTAACAATTTGGATATGCCACGTGGACACTTTTTGGCACTGTTGACCCTCTCCTTTTTCTTCTCTCTCTGCTTCCTTTCTCTTGAGAAAAAAATTGAGGCCAACCAAAAAGTAAAGAATAAATAAATAAACCCCACCGCTCTCACTTTCTCTATCTCTCTGCATTAATCATTGATGATTCAGTGACTCACCCCATTAACATTGTCAAACAGTTGTGTTTAGGGCCTGTAGAAGCAAAGTTAAAACCCAACCACACCCATCATTCAACTTTACTCTCTCTCTCTGAGAAAGAAGTAGGAAGAAAGAAAAAGCTTTTCATACCTCTCTCTTTCAGCTTTCATGGCCGAGGGACAGTGATAATTTCAAAAGAGGAGATATTAGCTGGGTTGACGTCCAAGGCCCGGCACCACCAGACCGTCGATTACGGAATTCTAGAGAGAGAAACAAACAGTGGAAGTAGAAACTCTGTTGCTGGTATTAAAAAGGTCAAACAAACAATTTCTTTTTTAGCTTCTTCAATTCTCTTCATTTCACCTCCTACCCTTCTCTCCTCTCCCTTTCTCCATCTTTTCTCTCTTAGCTTTCTCCTTCTCTTGCCTCCTTTATCCTCTCTGCTCACTCTCCGCAGTTTATCAACTCCAATTTGGTTTCGTTTTGGCTCCTCGTGGAGTCGTATCTGCTTTCCTGCACAAACCCATTTGGAAAGCGATCGAAAACAAGGAGAAAAGCTTTTTATCATTGGTTGTTTGACTGATTCTTCATCTGGGTCTTCAATTTTTTGGGATTCACGGCTTGTTTCTTTGATCCCACCTCCACTTTTTCTGTAATTCTGCTCAGTCTCCCATGGAAAAGGAGAAGCTTTTTATGAATTCTGGTAGCCCACCTCCTCTGAGCTATGCCGCCTCTTCTTCTTCGCCACCCCCAACCTGGCATTCTGCGTCTTCTGGCATGGACGTTCAAGTTGGAGAGCTGAATTGTTCTTCAGAGCAAATGCGCAATTGTTATGTCAACCTTAATTGGGAGAATTCAATGGATCAGAGCGGTGCATTCGAATCTTCCCTGAGCTCGATGGTCTCCTCCCCTGTGGCATCAAATGCTACCATCCATGGCGGCCCCCTCGCCCTCAGAGAACTGATTGGAAGATTGGGAAACATGGGGAACTCTGGCGACATCTCGCCGCAGTCTCAAACGTTAGGAGGAAGTGCAGTTTCTTATATTGGGGGGAATAACAGTACCAACACTTCCTGTTATAGCACCCCATTGAATTCACCACCCAAGCTTAACCTCTCCATGATGGATCAACAGCTCAGGGGAAATTTACCCATTTTGGGAAATTCAATGCCAACTCATCCCAGTTTAGTCCCATTCTCTACCGATCCCGGATTCGCCGAGAGGGCTGCCAGGTTCTCCTGCTTTGGCAATGGAAATTTCCGTGGTCTACCATGCCAATTCGGCTTTAATGAAAATGAATTCTCATACAGACCAGCACCAAGGCTGGAAAATGGGAAGCTTTCTAGAGTCTCCAGCAGCCAGTGTCTCAAGGCTGCTGGATCTCAGTTGGGTGGTCAGGAGAACAAGGAGGCCCAGTTGCAAGATGGGTCTGAGACGGAAATGAGATCTGCAGCTGCTGCTTCAGCTCTGGCTTCAGAGAGGAAATTCAGTAAACTACCTGGATCATCTACCCCAGAGAGTGCGGAATTCGCAAGTGCCCGAGAGGAATCATCAGCTTCCGAGCAGATCCCAGGTGGGGAGGCCGGCTTGAAAGGCTCCAACGATGCTAATACTAGAAAAAGAAAAGCAGCTCCAAGGGGGAAAGCAAAGGACCCATCATCATCTCCCTCCGGGAAGGATGAAAAGGTATGAATTCTGGTCAAATTTCTCAATTCAGTCCCTTAATTCTTGCAGAAATCATATAAATTATGAGAATTCTCTCTTACAGACTGCATTAGAGAAAGAGGACCAAAACGCAAAGAAATGCAAATCTTCTGACAGCACTGGAAATGAAAATAATGAGTCAAAGGCAAAGGCAGAACCTTGTGGGAGTAATAACACTGCAGGGGATGCGGATCAAAAACAATCTAAAGAAACCCCAAAGCCTCCAGAGCCTCCAAAGGACTACATACATGTTAGAGCAAGAAGAGGCCAAGCTACAGACAGCCATAGTCTTGCGGAAAGAGTAAGATTAGAAGCAATTTTCTAAGAACAATTCAAGTTAGCCATTATCATGGCATTAACTCAGTCTTCATGAATCTGTTTCTTACAGGTAAGGCGAGAGAAGATCAGTGAGCGGATGAAATTCCTTCAAGATCTTGTCCCAGGTTGCAATAAGGTGCGGAGAGCATGCTGAATTACAGTTCCTTCAGCAGATAAATTATAAGGAGCCTTATTGAAGATCTTATTGTGTTTCTAACAAATGTAACCTTGAATTTCTATTGCAGGTAACTGGCAAAGCAGTTATGCTAGATGAAATTATAAATTATGTTCAGTCACTGCAGCGCCAAGTCGAGGTAAATTCAGGATTAAACAACCTTCATTTGGAATCTTAATTTCACATTTGAGTGATGTCTGATTAACATCTATGTTCTTGTCAATTTGCAGTTCCTATCCATGAAGTTAGCCACTGTGAACCCCAGGCTGGACTTCAACATGGAATCTCTACTTTCAAAGGATGTAAGTTGGTGAATTGGGATATCTCTTAATATCCTCTCTATCGCTCTCTCTGCTGCCTGTCAGTTGGTAAATTATTCAACTGAGTTGTTGAATCATTTATGAAATGCAGATACTTCAATCACGGGGGTCTTTGCCACATACAGTATATCCATTAGATTCTTCGGCATCAACCTTTCCATATGCACAACATACCCAGCAAGGACTACCCCTACAGAGCAGCATTTCTAATGTAACAGAAACTCACTGCTCAGTGAACCCATTAGATGCCGCACTGCGTCAAAATGTAGGCATGCAGTTTCCTCCTGCTGATGGGTTTGGAGAATCTGCTCCTCGGGTAAATTATATTTTGTCAGGCCATTCTACAATGTCTTGCAACTGAAAATTTTGCCATGTTATCTCATTCTATCTGTAAATAAATTTTCAGGTTGGAACATTCTGGGAAGATGACCTCCAAAGTGTTGTTCAGATGGGTTTTGGACAGAACCAGAGTCAAGCAGTATTCCATCCTCAAAGTTTCCATGGTAAAGCTTAGAAAAATTCTTGGAAATCAAAATAACAGATACAGTGCAGCTTTTGATTTAATGATACTGACATGAAATTGGTTCTTGCAGGCTCATTGCCTACTGCCCACATGAAAATTGAGCTCTGATCACCATTGACTACTATTCAATTTGATCAGGCCCCAGTAAGAGACGCATTTGTATATACAGACAGAAGTTCATTCCAACCGGCCCATAAGATCCTGAACTATGTCAATCAATCATTAGGAACTAGCAAGAGAATATTTTCCTTTTTTCTTCCCTTTTCTTTTTGTTCATCTGCAACTCATTCTTTGGGGAATTCTTACAAGTATGATTGTAAAATTTTAGAACTAATTGCATCCTGTGGTGTAAATTATTGTAAGTAACACCACATGTAAGATGTAACGTGGTAAGAAAAAGGAAGAAGGGTGGGAGGGGAGGGAGGGAGGAATTTTGCCACCATCTTCCGATCCAACCTTGTTGGGCATATTACCTTACCATTCAGAAATATTACTATTAATTCATTGAGACTTTTTTTTTCTAATGATAATGTCTCTTTCTTCTTTCACTGTTACTGTTGTAATTAAACCAGAAATATAGAATATTGGTACCTCCATTGGATGATTGGAATGTCATTGTCGCGTAATTTATGGAATAACTAATTCTTACTTGTAACCAGCTGTTAAGTGGGGGCCTATGATGTCTTAAGTCTAGTGATGATTAGGATGTTGGCTATTTTTTGAGCTGGAGTCGACCATGAAATGAAGCTCCACCAGGACCATCTTGGGCACCTATACTTTTCAAAGACCAACCAACAATAGAAACTCTTGCTCTATTCTACTGTAGACAGAAATGAAGCACAGTATACATTTTTCTTTCCTTTTTTTAATGTAAAGGCATCATAGAAGCCCAGGTTGGCAATGGTGAGGTTCTGACTAGACCCATTGAATCTGAAAGATTTTACTGTAGCATCTACTTTAAAATATTTGGAAAGAAAGCATTTATAAATAAAGAATGTTAATATGGTGGTGTTACAGATTTAGAGGGATACTCTGCAGGATAGACTAACCTTTTATGAAAGGCTGTTAAAAAGACCAGTTTCCAGAAACCAACAAAAGAACTATGCGGCTTAGCCTTTCTTCCCAGTGGATGTTCTAACTATTCATGTAATTAATTAACATAAAGATGCCCTGAGAATGCTGTAGATTCACATTATTCAGAAAAGACACAAGATTGAAGTTTCACAAGGCAGATTGTTGGAGGAACTTGAATGATGATTTGGTCTAAGGTGAACCCATTTTGGATAAGTTTCTGTCTTTCCAGAGTTGGATGCATCGTATGACTAAATTAAAATTAATAGCTTAATTTTCTTAAACTGATACTTCTGTCCATACTACAAATATATAGGGAATATCATCTCTATGCAGTTGATACCAGATTTACAAAGATCCTGTATTCCCCTGTCACTTTCATCAGAGCGAAATTTACGCTTCTGGGCATAAACCCTGGACATTGTGAGCAAAGGAGCCCAATGGTGGGGACTTGTTAGGAGAGACTGATGGAGTGTTGCTGTTTGTGGGATATAATGATGAATTAGGGGGTCCATAAACCAGGCTGTCACTGTTTTTTATGCTTTTTTTTATCTCAACAAGCATTTGCTTTAACTTTGGGTTGGTATGATCACCAACCCAAGTCATCCCCCAAGAATTATTACATGCTCTCCAACTGTGTGTCACTGCATTCCAAAGGTTCAACATCAAAGCTAAAATTTCTCACTTTTTAATCATCTGTTTGGTAAGTAATTTATTCAACTCACTATCACAATTATCTCTAGAATTTTTCCATCTAGATGTCATTTTCAAATCCAAGTTCAAATCCAATTTTCTCTTGGATTTGTAATGGCTTTGGGGATATCTTTATTGTGAAGCATATTTCTCGTACTTTCATAAAAATAAAGAGATAAAATTTTTCCCTGCAAATGGGTGTAGATGGCTAGAGTATCTACAAGTCAGAGTGTATGATCCTGTTTTTTCCCTCTATCCCATTTCAGTTAGTTGTTTTTGGAGAGGAGATGGTCCACAGTTGCATTCATGACAAGAGAAGACAAAGCCACAAGCCTTTTGTTTTATGGTCCCATTGACATGATAGACTTCTCCTATGTTCAGTTCTTTTCCATGGAGAATGCCAAAGCAAGTTTTTGTGGACTGTCCGCTTTTGCCTCCCATGTACACTAGAGGCAAATGGACATACTTCTCTGATCCACTTGAAGATTGCCCCCCATCTTCTTGACACCAAAAGCACACAAATAAATGATTTAGGCTAGAAACCATCATTTTGAAATCTTTCTACAGGTCCAGTGGTTGTAAGTGGACCTGGCCCATCCATTCAATCCGAATCCATTATGATCATTTTAAATATTGAAGGAGAAGAAAAAATCTTGTAGCTTGGCTAGCATTTTTTTTCTTAATTTTCCCTTCTAAAAATATAGGGTTCGATTATGATACCTGAAAGATATCATACTGGAAAAACTTACAGCGAACCAACGGGTATACCAATCAGGTGGTATTCATCAAGTTCACGGGGTTTCATTGATCAAATCTCTTCTGGTATCATGTCTTTCTGGTATACATAAAAATTATAATCATGGTTCAAAGTATCGATACTTTGGATATGCAAAAATCACGTATTGAGAGTTTCAATTAATCGACAAAAATCACGTATCATGTCATCTTTTAACATTTGAACATATAAAATCACCTAACTCTTAGTATTTAGAGTGTCAATTACCCAGAAAGCCAATACATCACGATACTTTAAACCTTGGTCATGATAGAGAATGGAGAATTAATTTAACCCGCAGTTTTTGTAAATTTTGAAGCCATCATTTCATGAATAGAAAATCTCGAAGACACAAGTTCCTTGAAGCCCAATTGGCTAAGAAAATTAAGGCTACCAAAAAAATGACCCTTTCCAATTGAGTTGACAAAATCAATTCAATTCCCAATCTTCAATTACCAAAAAAAAAAAGAAAAGGATTCCCAAAAAACATTATACGCTCACCACAAAAAAAAAACAAAAAAGGATAAAAGAAAATATCAATACACTTCTCTTGTTGAAGTAGTGAGAAATCATAGGCCTCTCAAGCTCTATCAGGGATTATTTGGTCTTGCTAAATTTTATATACATATAAGGGTTATTGGGGATTTAGAAACACTTTACAGGTCATTTGGTGAGGTCCATCAACCTCATTGATTGGATTGACAAGGGGAGGTGAGTGGTCATTTTGACGAGGCACCATCAACCTCATTGATGTATTGACAATGGAAAGTGAAGTGTTTTGGAGATATAAGTTAGTGAAGTGTTTTGGAGACATGGAGGGTCAATGAAATTTACTCCAACAATAAAATAGTCTAGGGTCTTCTACAACAAGTAAAGGTGAAAAAGAATCCAAAATAGAATAACAATATTGGGTACCTCACATGGGGTTGAAGTATTCAAGCTGTGGATTGATATAAAATTGGACTTGTCAAGAGTACAGGATTACATGGTTCCATTCGTTTGTAATGGAGGCTATGAAGTTCAATCTGAATGAAAAGGTGGTTACTTCTTCCTAATTATAACAAAAGAACATTTTTAATACTTTTGATGAATAACGTAAAAGGATTCGACACCAAATCAAAGATGACGGCTTTGGTATTTCATATCTTGGGATCAGCCAACAATTCATGATAGTTTTTGGCTTTCATACTGTTTCAGGCTTTGAATTATTTATGGTTTCCCCCAACCCCACCCAGCCCTTTTACCGGCATTAAATTTCTGTTAAAAAAAAATAGAACTCTAACAAGAAAACAAGTGGTGAAAGATAAACGAAATAAATCACCACAAGAAAATGCTCAAAAGAATATATATTATTCTAAATGCTCAAAGTAGCTGGTATTACCAAAGGAAATGATCAATAATTGCTAGAAAAGTAGCTCTCATGTAAGGATCTCATTGGATCAAAATGCTCAAAAGAATATATATTATTCTAAATTGTTTCCAACTCTAGTAACAAGAAAACAAGTTGTGCTTTAACTTGAAAAGATAGAAAATGAAAGAATCATTCACTACACCATTTCCTCTGATCTACCCATTTCATTGGTCCTCACAATTGGTGAGAACAGATGCGTATCACCCAAAGGAATGATCAATAATTGCTACTACAGCCATTGATAGAAAACTATATAACAAACTATTACTATTACATACACAATTTGATCATACATTTCTTCTATATGTTGCATCGGTCGTATCCAGAGAACCATGGTTTTGAGAGTTCACCATCTTCTTCCTGGTAGAAATCAAACTCCTCCCTCCATCGTTGATCACCACCAATGCTGAGGCACTCACCTTCATCATATTTGACTATATTTGAATCATCATAAGTAGGTCTAAGTGCTTCTTTAGGTAGACGAGACTCTTCCAAGACCTGGTGCAGATTAGCAACTTCCTTTTCATGCTTTTTCTTCAATTTATCAATCTGTTTATAGGCCTTCTCGGCTTCTTGCTCTGCATCTTGAGCTTGCTTCTGTAACATGATAGAAGATGATAAAAAAAAGAATTAGTAATTGATACCATGCTGATGCAGTGAAAGTTAAGGATGACATTTCATGTGACTGAGGATAATTAAAGCCTCTAATCTTGGCGGATAAATCAATCCACTTTTAAGTATTACAGGAAGAGGATAATGAAGCAAAAGCATTAGAAATCTGAAATCTCAATGCTATCAAGAAAAAACTGCACAAGGAAAATATCACAATTATTCTTTTTCAGAAACATATTATGTAATTATTATTGCAAATTATGATATCAAGTAAATAAATCAAAATAGATATTACAAGGTTAGATTGTTGAAGTGAGATTAATCATGTTATGGAAGTTATCCAGTAATCATGTTAGACTTGTGTTATGTTTACCTAGGGAATAATTAGAACCTAACATAATTAGAATGAGCTTGGCAACAAAACCAGAAGCGTCGCATTTAAAGCTACTTTAAGAAGAAGAATAAAAAGAATATGGTAGAAGAGGAGATTGTGTGGTTATTGGATAGAGGGCCCTGTGGAGTTATACTCCCCCTTAGTGGTAAATTTTAATCTAAAACATGCCCACCAAAAAAGTGCTTATTCTGGCAAGAGGAACATGTGGGCCCCAACCATCTTACCATGTTTAGATCGGATTACTAAACCGCTTGACTAGGTTCCCCCCATATAAAAAAGTATACAGTATTTTTGTCTGTAGGATTTTCAGTATGATTCATGTATAAACTAAAACGTCATTTCGTTTCCAGGAGAAATCTACATCCTTTACTGGGTTTTTCTTTCCTAACAAGGAAAAATATTCTTTCCACTACACAAGAAGTTGCTGCTTCATTTAAATGGACCAACTAGCAGGCCTCTCATATGAAAAAAGTGCATAGTATTTCCTTCTTTGGGATTTTCAATATGCTCCATATATAAACTTCAAAAAAAATTGGGACTGTTTTAGTTTCCAAGGGTAAAAACTTCCCTTCCTAGCAGGGAAAAATACTTCTTTCAGGAGGAAAGAATACCAAAGTGCTGGCAGACTTTCAAGGATAAAACAGTCCTCCCACCCAACTAAATGGCAAATGGTTGTTTAGGAACTAAAATATCATGCAGCTTTTAATATCTTTTGAAATATCAGTTGGAGCTCTGTGCCAAGTTACAGATATGTTTTTAATGATAGCACACAGCAATGCCTGAGAACTCTAGCACCATGATGCAGATTTTATATTGATCAGCAGTAGCAAAGCAWAATCCCAGTTCTAACCACATGAAAGAAAGTTTCACACATTTGCCCACAGAAGCACAACATATCAATAAGTGCATACATTTAGGATGGTGTGTTTGGTAGGTGCCATGGTGTTTAGAGATTCTGGCATGAAACATGGAGTACAATATTTTCATTATCGTTTCAAACACAGCCACATAGAACAAATGAAGCAGGAATTCCCTTAAAAATGTAATTCCCACTTGTGTACAAATCCACTACAAAATGTAGTTCCCATTTCAAGTTGAATTCTCTACTAAATGTAGTTTTTGAATGTTAAATTTGAACTGCCTATATGACATTACAAATTTTATTACATATGTTTGTTCATCTCAGAATATAATATAATATAAATGAAACTGAAGAAGAATCAGTGTTTTAAAAGCGCAAGGCGCAAAAAAGGTGCAGGGGTCAATTTGCACCTGAGGCACAAGGCACAAGGCAAGAGGCACGTGCCTTTTTGAAGCAAGGTGAAAAAATACAAAAAAAAAAGCTAAAAAATCAAAAAAAATGTCAGAAAATTCAAAAACTGCCAAATTCAAAAAAAAAAATCAAAAAATATTAAGCATAATATTACTAAAAAAAATAAAGTTAAATTTAAAAATAATGTTTTAAAAAACCTATTTTCTAAAATTAAAATACATAAAATAAGATGTATAGCATATTCAAATGAGAATTTAAAAATAAAATCAAACATATAAAACATTTTCAAGCATGTAAAACCTCTAATCTCTTTTTTCACTCAATTGCAGTACTTCACATAGCTAATGTAATGTAAAACATATTACATTACTGATTCTATGAGCCGCCTTTGTGCCACGCCCCTCAAGGCAAGCCCAAACAAGTCCACATTAGGTCTTAAAATCTTAGTTTTCACACAAAAAATAATGATTTTATAGTTTTAATTGCTTTTTAAGAAGACATTTTATTAGGATGAATGAATGAACTACATCACCAAATTGGGGGTTCTCAGAATATAATATAATAGTTTTTTTTCATACACTTTTGAAAAGTACAATTCTATTTGTATTTGATTTATAATGTGTGA